GCGTAATCTGCACAATGATACGTTCGCGTATACGCAACTTCACCTCCGTCGTGTCGGCGATCATTTTGACAATATCACGATAGGCGCACTTATCACAAGCTTGCGCCACCAACGTTTGAAAGCGAGAGCGTATCTTGCGCGCGGATAAATAACCGGACGCGGTAATGAATTCCACCCAAAGGGACATGGAGCGCTTGCGGCCGTCGCTTAGTTTGAGTACCGCGCAGCCGGGCAGTGTGCCATCGTCGACAAAGTTCAACACACCCATCTGATTGAGATAGATCACGATTTCAAATTCGTTGGGCGAAATCACTTCGAGACCCTCAAAGCGGCCATTGTAATCGTTTAGTGAGGAGATGAAGCGCGGCTCCTGCACCTCGACTTCCTTCAGGACGTCTTGCACGATGCGACACACCTCGAGTATTTGCTTGTGGATTTGTGCTTTACGCACTTGTACGCGATCGGCACAATATTTATTCATCTGATAGACCATCTTGGACTGCGCCGCAATCATATCCGACGGGACGAGCATCTTGAGGTGTTGGTTGCTGCCAATGCAGTGCGTTGTAGTTTTAGAGCAGCAGAACTTATTAGCAATTGGATTAATACGGCTGATTGAAATTAGCGCGGCGAGCGTGGTAGTCTAACGGTATATCAGCTTTGAAGTGATAACATTTTTTTCCACGGAAATACCGATTTGTTTGAAGAGCTTTTTGATGTACGAAACTCTTTTTTTTTGCTTTTTCACCAAAAACTTTTCGCTGNGATTACCACCATTCCACACGCGCCATTCACACCCAACAAACAGCCACCGTCGTTAACGCAAAAATCGAATCGAAAACGCCACCGCCGTCGCGTTTAGATTTCTTTCTTCTCGCGTACACACAACGCCAAGCTCCAATGTTGACTGATTCCGTATGGCGCACTCACCGCAAGAAAACCAACCAACCTGGCTCGCCCGCTGCGGCCGGCGCCACTTTGTTGCTCTTCGTTGTTCGCTGCTGAGCGAGTGCGTGCGTGTGTGTCGCTCTATCAGCGCAAGTAACTGAGCGCTAAACAGCAGCAATTGTCGGCCTGCTTGCACGCGCTATGGCCGCTGTAGGCAGTCCCTTCAATGTTTAGTTCGTGCTGGTGGTGTGAAAGAGAAAGGCGTATGATAACTCGACCGGGCGTAAGGCCGGTTTGCATCTGTGAATTTACTTGCTTATGCACG